ATTTTGTAAATGTCCTACCGTAAATATATCAAAACTTAAATTGTTATTAGTAATATGCATTGCTAAGAACTTAATTTGAACAACTTTAAAGGCAGTTTTCTCAATATTTTGCACCCTCAGATTTCAGATTTTCAAATAGTTGTATCTCAGCCAATATATTGTCCTATCCTAACAAACCATACATCAATGGAAAGCTTATTTATTCAGCTTTCAGATGATGCATACATCTCAATTTCGAAAAATTGACCCTTATGACTGGTTTAGTGCTCCAGGGTAACATATGTGCCCCGTTGTCCAAAGACAAATTGACAGCACAAATTATAACCTTTAAATTGTTTATGTACGGTTCAAGGGCTTTGGCAGTCTAACCAAATAAAACATGACGACCATAGACACATATTGTCTTCAAAGTATGTCTTTCACAGATGTTTACACATTGTATGTTTTACTCCTTTAGCCTGGAGAAAGAGGATCTCCAGAGCAAGAACGTGAGACTGAACGGGAGAGAGAATCGGTTCCCTTCAGCCGCCACCTTCAGGCACATCATCTCACTCACCTGGGCATGAGCTACACGCTGGTGTCCGGCCAATATGACCCCTTTCAAGGTGAAAAGGTCAAAAACAACTGTACTATACTACACTACTGAACTCTGTATTAAGGAGCTCATATCATGAGGAATCAAACTGATCTTGTAAAACAAGAGTTTGTTGTACTATTAAAACATACTGTAACATTCAGACCTCAGAGGTTCCTCTCCAGTCCATGAAGAACAACTCTAGAAACTAATCTGCAAAACTGTCTCATTCTGAACTTCTGTAACTTTCTGACACATGAATGTAAAAAGGTGCATGAGCTGCAAGTGTTTTTGCCATGTCACATACCTTAGAGGACATGTACATATCAGTCTTATGCCAAATGCACACTGCACAACTCAAGCTTTTTGACTCGTGAACCACAAACCCTCTGTCATTATTGTCAAGAATCAACTCACCCATTGCTGTTTGTGTGAAAATACGTTATAATTTCAGAAAACACTTCAGTCCTGTAGTGTGCGCTTGGCTTTAAAGTGCAATAGAGAGTGGAAATGCTCATGAAAAACTAAACTATGAATGATTTTGGGTGCAAGTGGACCTCAAGGGAACAAAATTGCATGATAAAAATGATATGAGCCCTTTAAGTGTGTTTACAGTGACGTATGGCTATGGTAAGAATTGATTGTAATGTTCTGTGATCTGTGATCCTTCAGGTTTGAGCTCTGCAGCACTGGTTGCAAACCAGCAAGTGACGACGACACAGACCTGCTCCAGTGGTGAGAAAACCAATTCAATTACCACTGCAATAAAATAAAACCAATTCCTGTGGCTCAAACAGCAGATCATGGCACTAGGTCATGGGTTCGATTCCCAGGGAATGCATCGGGGTTGCCAAATCCATGGTTTAACCACAGATTTGGGCTACTTTTACACTGTTGCCGTGGGTTGGTTTTAAAGTGCGTGGGTTTAAGTGCACCTCCCACCCCCGACAGAAGGGAAAACCGCAGAAAAAACGTGGTTGGGCTAGTTTTGAATAACAATTGGGCTGGTTTTGTTTCGCAGACCTGGCAACCCTGGAATGCATGTACACCTTGGGCCCTATTTTAACGATCTAAGCGCATGGTCTAAAGCGCACGGCACAGGTGCACTCAGGGCGTGTCCGAATCCACTTATGCTAGTTTAACGACGGGAAAAATGTTTGGCGCGCCCGGGCGCATGGTCTAAAAGGATTGTCCCTATTCTCTTAATGAGTAATGGGTGTTTTTGGGCAACACGTGCAATAAACCAATCAGAATCTCCCATCCCCTTTAATAGCCAGTTGCGCTCGCACCATAGCGGGTTCGCTATTTACATGGCGGAATGTAATTTTTCATATTTAAAAATGTGTTGTGCGCGTCCCTGTGTGTGTAATAAGCAAAGTGTACGCACGTTGTGCACCCGCCAATAGGCGCATATTACTAACGCGCTCTTTAAATAACAAAGAAAAAATATTGCGCCAGACTTTAGACCAGGTTTGAGTTGGTCTATGGAGTAATCTATTTTCAGTTCCTCAAAATAGCAACGCGCCAACCAGCACGCCCATGGGCGCACAAATGGGTGCAAATGCATTTGCCATTTAAACAACGCGGCGCAGGACGGCAAAATGAGAACTGCGTCGGGCTGAAACTAGCACTTGCGCCGCGCCTTGCGCCGGGTGTATGATAGGGCCCCTTGAATGCAATGCAAGTCGCTTTGAATAAAGGCATCTAACAAATGCTTAACTAAATTGATTGATTAAAGCAGTTGAACATTGTTACAGTTTAGAGTTTTGTGGTCTTTAATAATGTTCTCAAAGCATTATTTATTTAAATTATTTATACATCATATACAACGTTTTTCTGAAACATTGTAGTTGGATGCTCGTCTAACATTTTTTAAATATTGCTACTTGTTTCAGAGAACTTTCAAAAGTAACGTTGAAGTGAAATGTTCCTATAACGTTTAATTGTATAATTGGGCTTTTTGAACGTTCAGAACACATTCATAGATAATGTTTTCACGACTCACCAGGAACATTAGCAAATCTTTCTTAGAACATATTTTTATTAGCCTATTGTCTGTTTGATCTGCAGAAAATGACGGGAAGATGTGAGACGCAAGGATTCACAGACATCAATTCCATGGTGTTACTCATCGCCTCCATTGGAGGCAGTGACTAATTTAATTTCTAACCAATGAATGTACTAATGGAGGGCTGCAGTGGAACTAGACATGGCTACACGGTGACACGGTCCTTCAGATGCCCGTCACACACAAACCCTCTGGTCGTTGGATTTTGCCTGTAAATGGCTACATCTAGCTGTTTGTATGCACTTATATTGTTGTGTAACCATACTATTGAATGTATTTGCTATTGTGGTAAAGGACGGGTTGCAAAAGATTCTAAGTGACTGTAAGGTGGCTCGCTCCGCATTGACTTATTAACATGAATATACTGTTATTAACAGCCATTAATCTATTGTATCGTATAAAGTGGATGTCACTCGACAGTTCATCTCAGTGCCATACAGTATTATCGTGATGTATATAGTTGTACATAGTTGAACGAAGCTCAACAGCGACTATAACTAGCTTATGTACCTTTGTATTGATTCAGTGCAATGTATGGTTGTCTACCCACCTCAGCGACACAGCAAACGTAGTCCTTCAATACTAATGCATAACTAAATATGTTTACAAGTGGTTTTCTGGACAGAAAGTCAATGGTGTAGGTTGGTTGAGTTTTCCGTCATTAGGTTTTTCTTGATGTCTGCTGCAGTTGCTTTTTATACTGTCTCTGCCTTAACATGTTTGGCAATCCAAATAAAAAGTCAAGGTTGTTTCTACATGCTGATTGTTGTTTGTGCATGGAAAACCATTTGAGTGAGGTTATAATAACTTTCATTAATAAATCATTAACAAACAATGATACACGGTAGTATACTAATAGAAATGTCGATGCAATAAAAACACGTTTTGCACCCAAATTACAATGTGCGTTATATCTTTAGCTAAACGTAACTAACCACGCTTTACACAAACTGTGTTACAGCAGCTAAAAGTTCAATGCTCATAAAGGTACTCGATGATCAGTAAACATTTATAAATCTTTACAATTGATGAATAGTCTCAGCTTTAGTTTGGGACTACTGCAGTATTTGTTAAGATGTGAAAATCGTAGAAGTCTACAACAAACGAAGACCAAATATATGGTCTTTACAGACTGTGAGTTAATGGATAATATATATAAATGACTAATTAAGCTATTTATTCACAACATTTGTAAATGTAACAAATGAGAAAAAAAGAGCATTAGGCAATTTTAATGACATTTGTTGGCATTCAAACGTACATTAACAAATAAACTTGTATAGTTATAAAATTCTAAAACAAAAAAAAGTATAAAACATTGTATAATTTCTGTTAAAATCATTTGTAGATTTGTAAAAAGTGCCAAAGACATTTGTAAGCAATTCAATTTACATTAAATAATAATCTGTTAATCATTAGGTAATGTTTAATAAGTACATTAAGCGATGTCAATATATATTAACTAATGATCTGTGTTAATGATTTATTAATGAAAGTTATTATAAGTGTTACCGGTTCTGGAACAAAGTTATAAACAAATGTTCTTCATGTAACATTAATAGAACATTCGTTCACTTATTATCAGATACTAATTATTAATAATGTTCACAAAACATTATCTATACTTCGTTAGTCTAACTTTTTTTTAAAATGTTACTACTCGTTGTAACGTTAAGAGAACATTCGAAAGTAACGTTCCCATAACGTCTGGAAATGATAAAATGGAACGTTTCTTTAACATTCGCATAACCAAGAAGAACATTTTTAAAACGTAAAAAAAAAAAAAACGCGGGAAATTTTGTTCGTTCAGAAAACATTTAAAAATAACGTTTTCATGAGGGAACGTTAGCAAAAAATTTGCACGTATTTTTGTTAAATCACACTAAATTAATACGCGATCTGCTTGAACAGCACGATCTTTCTGTCGTGTTGTTTTACTGTGAAAACTATAAATATAGTACTTTATAAATAAATGAGTGAATATGTGGTACTGAATGATTTCCAGATACATAACACATGCTATTTACTTAGCACTAGAACATATTTCAGAGAATACCGTTATTTTCTGTTCGCGGTACGTTACTTTGGCGGTTACTGTTACCATGGTAACGATCATTTAAGCGATTCAAACCCGCTGAATATGACAAAAGTACACGCATTAAGCCAACGTATATATAATTAATGTGTACTATATGTCAATTAAAACATTCGGTGACTTACCTCATCTATTTATTTTCCATAAAAAGACTAGATTTGGTAATTTATGCGACACTTGTAACGCGCTCATCCGTCCTGCAGAGGGAGCGCTCCTCACTCACTCACACAAACACGCCGCTGTTTCCGGCGGAAGTGCCGCAGTCTGACAGTTACTGTCGTTATTCGAGCACAACAACAACGCGCTAAAGACAAACAACAGATCAAGCTCGTCCTGAGAGCATCATGAGTGTGCTGAAAACATGGCTTCAAAACCAGAGCAGCTGCTGATTGTTGTTTCAGTTCTCGAAGGTAACGGAGAGATGTGTTTGTGTGTGGCTAGTTTGCAGTAAAATCAAAGCGAATGCAGTATTATACTGATAATGCATGATTGTGATTTTGTCACAGTAGTCACCAGTTGTTTTCGAGGCTTGACACGCTTATTAATTATTCTTAAATATGTGTTTGTATGTCACTAGTAAGAGTTTCGAAAAGTAACGTTGCCATGGTAATGTAATGTTTTCGGTGTAAGTACCATGGTATTCTCTACAGTACTTTAGAGTATCACGTATATATCACAATATATGGTTATGATAATCGTTTTATTTTTCAGGATTCACAGATGAAGCATTTATTTGAGATATAAATATTTTGTGTCAATTATACTGATTTCTGAAGATCACGTGACTTTGAAGACTGGCGTAATTATGCTGAAAATACAGTTTTGATCACAGAAATAAATTAGAGTTTAACAGATATCCACATAGAAAACAGCTGTTTTAATTAATAATAATATTTCACATTTTTTCTGTTTTTATTGTATTTTTTATCAAATAAATGCAGCCTTGATGAGCAGAAGAAACGTCTTTAAAAGACGAGAAAACTTTCACGGCTAGTGTATATTTTTTGTTATCTTGTATATTTCTCTCATTATAATCACTGCAGCTCAATGTTTATTGCTCTTTTACAGTATATACTGTTGTTCAAAAGTTTGGGGTCAGTAGGATTTGTAATGTGTTTTAAAGAAGTCTCTACTTTGCATTTATTTGACCAAAAATACAGAAAAAAAATGTAAAATTGTGAAATATTATTGCAATTTAAAATAATGGTTTTCTATGTGAAAGTCTGTTAAACTGTAATGTATTTCTGTGATGTGCAGCTGTATTTTCAGCATCATTACTCCAGTCTTCAGTGTCACATGATCTTCAGAAATCAGTATAATTTGCTGCTTTATTATCTTTTTTTTTTTTTGGAAGCTGTAATACTTTTTCAAGATTCTTTGATGAATAAAAAGTTAAAAAGAACACCATTTATTTAAAATAGAAATATTTTCTGACAATATAAGTCTTTTTTATCAATTTAGCATGTCCTTGCTGAATAAAAACATTCATTTCTTTTAAAAAACAAAAAAAAAGAGAGAAAAAAAATTACTGACCCCAAACATTTGAACATAGTGTATATTGTTAAAAAAGATTTCTATTTTGAATAAACGCTGTTCTTTTTACCTTTATTCATCAAAGAATCCTGAAGAAGTATCACAGGCTCCAAAAAAAATATCTATTTCTAACATTGATAATAAATCAGAATATTATACTGATTTCTGAAGATCACGTGACACTGAAGACTGCAGTAATGATGCTGAAAATACAGCTGCGCATCACAGAAATAAATTAAAGTTTAACACACATTCACATAGAAAACAGCTGTTTTACATTATAATAATATTTCACATTTTTACAGTTTTTTCTGTATTTTTGGTCAAAGAAATGCAAAGTAGAGACTTATTTAAAACACATTACAAATCTTACTGATCCCAAACTTTTGAACAGCAGTGTATAATCCTCTGAAGCAGCACGACTGATCTGTGTTCTCTTCATCAGGCCGTCAGTTTCCCAGGAGTCCGCGGCACACGCTGGTAGTCGAGGCTCGCTTTGACGGAGAGACGTTGGCCACAGACCCCGTCGAACACAAAGAGCAGCCGCAGTTCTGCACTGAGCTGGCCTGGGAGCTCGACCGCAAGACGCTGCATCAGCACCGGTGAGTTCTGCTCGTCACATGATGCTCATCCGTCAGCGCCTCTCTCTCACTCAGCGTCGTCTGCTCCTCCCACAGACTCCAGAGGACACCCATCAAACTACAGTGTTACGCCGTCGACTCCGGCACGTCTGCGAGGGAGTGTGTGGGATACATCGTCCTCGATCTCAGATCACTGCAAGAGATCAAGCAGGTCAGGAAGTCTCTTCTGCTCAGCAAGGCTGCATTTATTTGATCATAAATACTGTAAATGTGGAAACTGTGATGCATTTTTTTTTTCAGGATTCACAGATGAACAGAAAGTTCAAAAGAACAGTATTTATTTGAAACGGAAATATTACAACATTATAAACGTCTTTACTGGCACTTTTGATCAATTTAATGCATCCTTGATGAATAAAAATATTCATTTTTATTTTTAATCTAACTTGTTCCACACTTTTGAATGGAAACGTATGACAGTTTCCACAGAAATATTGTGCGGCACAACTGTTTTCAACATAATAATAATAATAATCAGAAATGTTTCTCGAGCAGCATATTAGACTGATTTCTGAAGATCATGTGACACTGAAGACTGGAGTAATGATGCTGAAAATACAGCTGCGCATCACAGAAATAAATTACAGTTTAACACATATTCACATAGAAAACAGCTGTTTTAAATAGTAAAAATATTTCACAATTTTTAGTGTATTTTTGATCAAATAAATGGTGAGCAGTAAAGACTTCTTTCAAAAACATTAAAAATCGTACTTATTCCACACGTTTGACTGGTAGTGTGCGTGTCACTGAAGGTTGAGTCTCATTAGCCGACTTTTCTGAAAGTCTTCTATGTGTTCTTCAGGCTCCTAAATGGCATCCTTTACTCAGTAGCAAGTACACGAAACTGAAACCTGCTCTTCTGATCAGCATGATCTTAGAGAACGACACCAAACCAACAGCTGAGCAGTTCAAGGCAAAGAAAGCTCCACCGAGGCCAGGTACCTGACCGCTCTTTCTTACGCTGATGCACACCTCTGATGTTTGTGGTCTCTTTGTATTTGTGCCGTTGTTTTCCTCCCATTCTCTCTGCTTCTGTTGATGTGCTTCAAAGCTTCTACATGCATGTTTGTCTCAGGTCAGTGTAGGGGTGTGCGATATATATCGTCTGCGATAATATCGTAATTGTCGTTTCAACGATGTGCGATTTGACATTATCGAGTATTTTGCAAAAACCATTCAAAACATACCTACAGAGCGCACGCATACATTACGTGAAGTCTAGACTAGTGCGTGTGCGCATTTAGTGTGTTTTCTTTCACTGCATGATTCAGTCTAATAAAATGCGTCTTGCATTAAACAAAATACATGTGTGTAAATACATCTAAATTGCACTTCAGATGCAGCTTCTGTGTGGATTTAATTTGCTCGGTAACAGCCCAAATGTCTTATTATTCTAATTCCCTGATTAAATGTAAGAATTTGACTCAAAAGATAATGGACACTTCTAGAAAAAATGGCTTTATAAAGGTAAAAATGCCCATAAAATGCAAAAATCAGTTTAAACTTATTGGAAAAGATTAATTTCTATCAGTATGACCTGACCACCACACAGAATATGAAGAATATTAAAAACATTAGGAGTCAGCTGTCTTCGGCAGTCCTTAAGGTACCAGCACAATAGCACACTCAGCAAAATATCGTCTAATTATCGTCATCGATAAAATCCCAAAAAATATCGAGATATAATTTTTTGTCAATATCGCACACCCCTAGGTCAGTGCTGGTTCGGTTCTGTCAGGCGTCATTATTAAAATCAACATGAAATCAAAAATGGTACTTGATGCTGGTTATTAGTATCTTCGATTCAATTATTCCAAATAATAAAAAGTTTCTAAAATGATTGTTTTTGTAATCTTTCACCAAAATGTAATAACTTTCTCCACTAAAACAACTTAACTAAAATAATTAAAACATGTTTGTGAATTGAAATAAATATAAACATTTTTTTTTTTTAAAAAGACTTGAAATGTTCCCTTTTTAAGTTGGAGCATTAAAATTACTAACTGGTTTACATTGTTAATGGCAGGTGTATTTAGATGCTGAAATGGTATTTTGTAGTTTCTGAGGTGTTTTTAGTTATTTATTTTTCTCTCTCTCAAATTTATTTATTTTTTTTTATTGGTGTGTAATTCATATTTTGTGAAAAGTTGATAAATATATTGTAAAAAAAAAATGCTAACTGAAAATAAATAAAAAGAAAAACTGAATTAGAAATATATTTAAACCTAAATAGTAATATAAAATAAATAAAAATGACAAAAATAATGACTAAAAATTAATCGAAATATTTATAATAGGTATAATAATTGTTAATAATTGTATAATAAGATATTACAATAAAAGCTAATTCTAAAAATATTCTAATTCTTTTCTGAATTTTTTTTTTTTATTGGTGTGTAATTCATATTTTGTGAAAAGTTGATAAAAATATTGGTTAAAAAAAAATGCTAACTAGAAAAAAAAAATGAATTTGAAATAAATTTAAACCTAAATAGTAATATAAAATAAATAAAAATGACAAAAAGAATGACTAAAAATTAATCTAAATATTTATAATAGGTATAATAATTGTTAATAATTGTATAATAAGATATTACAATAAAAGCTAATTCAAAAAATAAATAAACAATAAAACCATATATAAATGACACTAAAGCAACACTGATGAGCTATTGGTTATTGTTAATGTTAACTAGTAGTCATTGTTTTAGGCTGTGTTTGTAGGTGATGTCCGTGATGTGATGAACCCTAAACGAGTCGTGAGTGTGGTTCATGTTAACTCTAATGATTATTTTGTTAATGAAGTCACTGTGAACTCTAGGCTCTCCGGCGCTGGTTCCTCTGGACTCTGGTGAACTCAGGCCGGTTCTGAACGAGGAAGAAGGCTTTCATCAGATCGGACCTGAAGATGTCTGCGCTGACATGTTTGTGCTGTCGGTAACGGTTGCGTTTGCTACTAAACTGGAGCAGGTGAACAGAGCTGCTGTCGTATGTCTGTGATAGGGCTGGACGATATGGCCAAAATGTATATCACGGTATATTTCTTAATTTCGGTCGATGCGACATAATTCCGATATCGATATGAACTCTATTTATCTGAAATATAAATCTTTTGCAACATTATAAATGCCTTTATCATCACTTGTAAACATCCTTGCTAAATAAAAGTATTCATTTCTATAATTTCTTTCCCCAACAAAAAAATGTATACTGAATGGTAGAGTGTATAATGTTACAAAAGCTTTTTATTTTGGATAAATGCTAATCTTTGGATCTTTCTATTCATCAAAGAATCCTGAATACATATATATATATATATATTGATAAGCAGCATATTAGAATGATTTCTGAAGATCATGTGACACTGAAAACTACAGTAATGATGCTGTAAATACAGCTTTGATCACAGAAATAAATTACAGCTTAACAGATATTCACATAGAAAGCAGTTATTTTAAATAGTAAAACTATTTCAAAATTTTACTGTTTTTGCTGTACTTTGGATCAAATAAATGCAGGCTCGGTGAGCAGAAGAGACTTCAAAAACTTTTGACTGGTAGTGTAGGCTGATTATTCTTATAGATTGAAACAAATGTGCTTCAGCCAGAAAAAAAGGGTATGAAAAGTGCTCCGAGTCACTTTGTTGCTGGAGACGGGCTTATTATTAAAAATGCAAACTGATTCTCTGCCAGCAGGAGGCGCTTTGAGAGCGGTAGAACTAGCGGTTGATATCACGATACATATTGATATTGGATTATTGTCCAGCCCATACATATTCAGTGCGCGCAGTGACTAAACGACACATCTTCCTGATCTTCAGTTGATCTCCAGCTCGACTAAGCTGTCCAGCGAGGGCGCAGAGTTCTTCTTCTATTACACTCTGTTGGGGAACGACGTCACCAGCGAACCTTTCCAGAACCTCCTCAGTCCGAACTTCGAGCCTGAGCGAGCGTCCGTCCGCATCCGCAGCAGTGAGCGAGTCCTGCGGCTCTTCCTCGCACAGCAGCCCTGTCTGCAGGTCAGCACGGATCTCTGATAGACCTCAACACATCTGCACAGATTTATCACACTGCTCGTTTTCTGTGTCTTTGGTAGGGCTGTGATTAAAATTTTAATCTGATTAATTGCATGATGTGCTAGTTATAGATAGTTCATCTAAATAATCGCACATCAGTATTGGCTGAGAAATGACCCCCCCTCCCCCCCAAAAAAGATTATTTAAAGTTATTATTGTGTTAAATGAAAAAAGACATTGCAAAAAATATTTTGATTCTACATTGCATATATATAATTATAAAAGTATTATATTGAAATATGGTTTTTAAAAATGGAATGATATTCTAAATATGAAAGTTAAAAGTGCCAGTAGGTGGCGGCGAGTCATTAATTAGTGAGTAATTGAATCGTTCACTCAGCCGATTCGTTCAAACAGCTGATTCATTCCGAAACGAAGCAAGTGACTGTATCATTGACTCACTCGATTCATTCAAAAACACTGACTCGTTCAGTAACGAATCACTGCTGTGTGTTGATCAGAGATGCTCAACAGTTCTGCTGTGGGCTATTTTCATTTGTGAAACTGAGCAAAGCAGACAATATTATGTCTAAAATATAATTTTTTTGTATAAATCACTATCACATTTACAGTGGTGCAGATATTGGGGAGAAGCAGCACTCTTGCTGGTGTGATATTGCTAAATTATATCATATGTGACCCTGGAGCACAAAACCAGTCATAAGGGTCAATTTTGTGAAATTGAGATTTATGCATCATCTGAAAGCTGAATAAATACGCTCTCCATTGATGTATGGTTTGTTATGATAGGGCAATGTTTGGCTGAGATACAACTATTTGAAAATCTGGAATCTGAGGGTGCAAAAAAATCTAAATATTGAGAAAATCATCTTTAAAGTTGTCCAAATGAAGTTCTTAGCAATGCATATTACTAATCAAAAATTAAGTTTTGATATATTTACGGTAGGAAATTTACTAAATATCTTCACGGAACATGATCTTTACTTAATATCCTAATGATTTTTGGCATAAAAGAAAAATGTATAATTTTGACCCATACAATGTATTGTTGGCTGTTGCTACAAATTACCCCAGCGACTTAACACTGCTTTTGTGCTGCAGGGTCACATATGATATAAACATAAGAGGCTGATTTATTTTGTGCACTCATATCTTGAATTTTAGGCTCATATCACTGCATTCTAATAGACTCCTCAGTGTGAGATGATGGACAGGTCTGGACGGGGCGCCACATTAAATGCCTTAATCATTTTAACATGTGATTTTTTTCCATAATTAATCGCACCAAATGAACGTGTTAAATCGACAGCCCTAGTCTTTAGTAACAGTGATGCATGTTCAGTATGTGTTTTGCACACAGATCCATCTCTGCTGTGGAAAGCAGTCTCTCGGCAGCACTGACGTCAGTCTAGCTGGGTTAATGACGAGCAGCGCTGATCTCACTAAACGTCCCGCTATTATAGAGGGCGCTTTCATCCTGCAGCCCCTGAACCGAGTGAAGCCCAGCCTGCGGTGTGTCCCGCCGGACCTGCAGCCGACTGTGAGCGTGTCTGTGACACTGAGAGCCGAAGATATCAACAATCAGGTCTGATCACATGCAGGGTTAAACAACTGTTACTGGAAATAAAATCAACTTTCACTGAAGTAAAAATACAAGTCTCAAACTTTAGTTGCCAAGGCAACATTTCTTATTTTCATTTAGTTTAACTTGGCGTACTAAAATAACTAAAACTAATTTTTTTTTAAATAAAATTAACTATATAGACATATAAAAACAACTAATAAAGATCTTGTAGTTTCTGAGGTGTTTGGTATTTATTCATTTATTAATTTTTTTCTCTGTCTTGAAATGTTTTTCTGAATTAATGTATTTTGATATGCTGAAATGGGATCTTTTTTATTTATTATTATTAATTTATTTATTTTTCTCTCTCTAAAATTGTTTTTCTGAATTCATGTTTTTTATTGATGTGTAATTCATATTTTGTGAAAAGTTGATAAATATATTGGTAAAAAAAAATGCTAACTGGAAATAAATAAAAACAAAAACTGAATTAGAAATAAATTTAAACCTAAATAGTAATATAAAATAAATAAAAATGACAAAAATAATTATTAAAAATTAATCTAAATATTTTCTTATTACAATAAAAGCTAATTCAAAAAATAAATCAAACAAAATTTCTCACATTTTAATTAGAAATAAAATTACAACCGTATAAAAATTAATTCAAAATATTTATGAAAACTATAATAGTATCTCAATGATTCTAAAATAGCATTGATCATATTCATATGTGATATTTGAGGCTTTTTGCTTTTTGACATTTTCTTGCACTTTTAAAACAAATGTTTATGAAGCAGGATTTTTCTTAATCTTATAAGAGTTTGATTTTATTATGAGCAGTGTTATTAATTAGGTTTTATTTTTATATTTTCTGTTTTCATTTTAATGAAATTTAATGAATTTTAGTTACAGATTTTGTCATTTTATTGTGTGTTTTTGTTATTTTAATAATTTTTTATATATGTCTGTATAGTTTTTATACATTTTTCTTTCAGTGCACTTAGTTAAACTTAACGAAAATGAGAAATGTTCCCTTGGGAACTAGCTGAACTTTTTATATATATGTATAGTTTTATCAGAAATAAATCAGTTTTATTCTAGCTTAAAGCATTCTTTTTTTATCAACACTTGAATATAGGTACGTTTCATAAAAATGCATAATTTTGAGTAAAAAGGTGAGAATCTAATTTTGATCAAAAACTACATCTGGATAATATTCATTACAATTATTAAAGCATAAATCCAGTAAATCGCTTCCATCAACACCTCCAAATCTTGCACAGACATATACCACTTCCTGGATCAACACTTCATTCTGTAACATTATGCAGTTTTAATTTATATGCTGTCTATTGCTGTCGGAAAGCCGTAAAAACTCATCTTTGGCGGGGAAGCGTTTTCTTGTCAAATACGAGATAACTCGTCAATGGCGGGGAAAGAGTTAAATAACTCTGTCTGTGAAATCAAAACTTCCTCCCCAGACCAAAAATAGCATTTATGACCTCCAAAAAAAACGACTCTAATCTCGTTAACCTATGATAGTCAGTGATTGTCAGTTTTCAGCAGCTTGGCAGGGAGGTTTTTTAAATTTATTTTGCATGTGTATATGTAGTGTGTAACCAATCATTTATTTTTTGGTGCAAGAAAGCTTTACTAACATCGAAGGTTGATTTGTAATTGTACAAATTGTTTAGATATGGTGCATTTAATAACTATTGTCCTTTATTATTTTATTTTTAGAAATTAATCGTCATCCAGTTTTTTTTATCGACTATGCATTCCGTTAGTTTTTCAAATTGATCATATAGATCACAAGTGCAGTATGGAGTACCTCAAGGCTCAGTACTAGGGCCGTTACTTTTCATGCTTTACACGTTACTCTTGGGAGATATCATCAGGAAACACGGTGTTAGCTTTCACTGTTATGCTGATGATACTTAGCTCTATATTTCTTCGCGGCCCGGTGAAACATACCCATTTATTGCTTTATCTTTTTTCTTAAACGCTGTTCTGTTGAGTTCTAGACTCAGGATGGTGTTGTCTGTATAGTTTGTTACTGGTTACGGCCATTCAGTGTTTTTAACAGGCATATTTTTGTAAACAGCTGGAAGTACCCATTGAGAATGGACCAAAAACTCCAGTGAAGAAAGGCCCCGTTCCAGCCGCCCGTCGTGAACGTCCCTCAGAGGAGCCCAGAGCCCTTAGGACCCCATCACCGGACCGGCCTCTCCGTTCTCCAGACGCTTCTCCTGAGCACCAGCACTCTGAGAGCGAGGCTGAGAGTCTGTGCAGTGATATCAGACAGGCCCCACCCACAGTGCATGACAGACAGGCCCTGCCCACAGCGCACGGCAAGTGTTCAAGCACATGTAAAATATATCGATATTGAGCCCCTCTCCGATACTTGTATATTCCTAGTGTATTGTGCACAATTCAACGACATTAAATTTATTAAAATCAATCCAATGTATACAGAACTAGGGCTGCACGAGAAATCGCATGTGATTATCATGCGCATCTTGTCAGTAAAGCCGGTTCTGTGATTAGTAGTAAATCACCATCATGTGCTTTCAGATGGAGTGGCATTTACTACACAGAGCCATAGTTCACTGACAAGCTACGCAATATCGCGTTCATAATCACATGCGATTTATAGTGCAGCCCTATACAGAACTGTGCAGCTAATAAAAGTAATGTGTGTGTGTGTGTGTGTGTGTGTGTGTGTGTACGTACATATATAACAGTGGTTCTCAGTTCCAGTCCTGGGGTATCACTGTCATGAACTTTATTTCACCCATATTTTGACATTTTATTTCAAAAAAGTTATTTTAAACATTTAAGTAGACACTTTGCATTTATTATGCTTTGTGTATATAAAATAACTTTTGTAAATTTTAATGCGGTCACCAGACTGGGATGTCTATGGAAGCCCGTTTGCAACTTTTTATCTCACAATTCTGACTTTTTTTCTCAGAATTGAGTTTAAATCTTTAAAATGTGACTTTTCAGAATTGTGAGATATAAAGTATTTTTTCCCCCTCAAAATTGGACTTTATATGTCACAATTCTGTGAAAAAAGTCTCATTCAGTTCAGACTGGAAACTCATAGCTCCTTAGTAATCATTAAAATGGGATTTGTGTCCCTGGAGCACAAAAGCAGTGTTAAGTCGCTGGGATATATTTGTAGCAATAGCCAACAATACATTGTATGGGTCAAAATTATAGATTTGTCTTTTATGCCAAAAATCATTAGGATATTAAGTAAAGATCATGTTCCATGAAGATATTTAGTAAATTTCCTACTGTAAATATATAAAAACTTGATATTTGATTAGTAATATGCATTGCTAAGAACTTAATTTGGACAACTTTAAAGATGATTTTCTCAATATTTCGATTTTTTTTGTACTCTCAGATTCCAGATTTTCAAATAGGTGTATCTTAGCCAAATGTCCTATACTAACAAACCATACATCAATGGAAAGCTTATTTATTCAGCTGATGCATATGATTTAAAAAAAATTGACCTTTATGACTGGTTTTGTGCTCCAGGGTCACATATTTCTTATGCTATAGCGCTGTGAATGCAGTAGCAGCGGATGTGTGACTGTTGAAGCATGTTCTTTCAGATGCACCTGTTGTCCCAGATGTGACTGAAGCTGATGCTGCAGACTCGTCCGTCTCCGTTTCTGCACCGAAGATCTCCATCCCTGCGTCTGCACATCACTACTGCTTCTCTCTGGACCTGCGCAGCATCCGAGACCTCAGGACCAGCTTCCCCATCAACTGCGTCCTCCGGTGACTCACGCTCGCAGCCTGAGCTTTGACACGCTGCTTTAGCATGTTCCTGCTCGTGTCCTAACATGTATCTTTCCCCAGATACGCTTACCAGTTCTTCGGCAGCGCGGCTCCCATCATGACGAGTCCAGCGGTGGAGGTGAAGAAGAACACGGAGGTGTTTCTGCCGCAGTCGTACTGCGCCTTTGATTTCGCCGCTTTACCCAATCAGCTTCAGGACACTTTCCTCAGGTGAGATCAGACCTTTAACCCTATTAAACAGAGATTAAACTACGGATTTCCCTCAGTTCATAAAGACAGTCACTTGCTTCATTCCTGAATGATTCAGCCGTTCGAACGAATCAATTGAATTAATGATTCAGTAATAAAATAAGTAACTTGTCTTAAAATTAGCCTTCCTTATACGAGGTGACATTTGACTCCTTAAAGTGACTTTCAGGAGTATTTTCTTTTTACCTTTATAATGGCATCATTTTCATCTGTCAAATTCAAAAATTTATGTTTACATTCTTTTTTAAATTTCTATTTAAAACAATATAATAATAAGTAGAATAAGACAAATAAGTTACCGATCATATGCAATTAGTATTAATAAATTAATTTATACTACAGAGGTTGCACAGAAGAACACAAAAGTGGCTTGTAGGTACATTTCCAGATGTTTAATGAGGCTCAGAGGTGGCATGAGTGCAATTAAATTAATGTGGAGATTAATGTTTTAAATATAAAATGTTGAATACAGAAATATTACATGATTTAAATAACTGAAATTATAGGCTAAAAATGAAACTAAATCCGCCAGCAGGTGGCGACAAATCACTGATTTTATCACTGAATCATTCATTCAATTGATTCGCTCGAACGGCTGAATCATTCAGGAATGAATCAAGTGACTCTCTTTATGAACTGACGGAACACTTTAATCCCTGTATTAAAGCTACTGGATCATATTTGATATGTGAAAGTCTCTAAATGATGTCGCACACAATCTAATGCATGTCTTCTGTCTCTGATTGATAATTTAGACTCTTTTAGTGTAACTGTACAAATGTCCAGCTTCAGCTCGAGCTTCACGTGTCCAATCTTGACTGATTTTTAATCAACTGCAGTAATATCTCCAGATGAACACTTACTGGACTGAAGCAGCTCAGCTTTACTTGATTCTCCATCAATCATGTTTTAGAGTCTCAAATCTGATCCTCAGGATCTTTTGAGGAGCGTTTGTTTCCAGAAGCTTTACTTTCACTGTTCCTCAGCGGAGGAATGATCTTCACAAGCCTCCAGAACATCTCACATCTTCTGAGGAGCCTTTATTTCTACAGCTCTCAATCACTGCATTACATGTTTGGAGCATTTCACTCTCATCTTACTGAGATAGATTATTGGAGATATAGAGCGACCACTGATATTTATATCATGTCAGTATCTGCTGTACTGTTATAAAGATCTCATTGATTTACAGCACAAGCATCAGAATTATCAGCATCTGCACCAAATACATAGTTTTGCTCAGTTTGAGTCGTTTTTCCTCCATATTCTCACTATGTATCAAGCCATAAAAACTAGGGCTGGGTTTTGACACAAATTTCATGATTCGATTCGATTCTCATTCACAAGCTTGCGATTCGATTCAATTACCAATTCGATTCGATTCAATATCGATTTTTTGGGGGATATATATCAGGTACAGTACATGCCAAATTTTCAACTAATGCTGTAAAATATTCATGGGAGTCAGCTGGTACTACATTACTATAATATTGAAGGTTAAAATGAATGAAGTTTTTACAATAATAAAGTTACAGTTACATAATAATATTTCTACTTCAATTCGTTTTTTTGAAATATAAACATTTAAATGGTGGCTGTCATAAAAACTTGATGGATTTATTCAAACATAAACACTGAAGAACAGTAAAAAAATATATTGAATGTTATATGGTGCATATATTTAGCAACATGCCCCACTCTACAGTTATATATGAGTTTATGGTCACCAAATATGTTTTTCTGAGGTAAATGTGACGTGACATTGTTTACAAGCCGTTATATTGACGTATTTGCGCTGCTGAAACACTGATTGAGCAATTACATGAGACAGGATACGGATTGTAAAGTTGTACTCTTTCTTTTAACTTACCTTCAGATGTTTAGTCATGTTTATTTTGTGCTATAACTAGTAATAAAGCGGAGGAGATGATCAGTTCACAGGCGCTACAGCGATCTGTCACTTCACATTAAACAGAGCCAAAACAGCATTCATTGTTTGAATACTGCAATACAGTGGACAGAATTTGAAATCTGAGACTTTGTTTCGTATTAAAAGTACCAACGCACAATGCTTATTGCGATATATTGGATGGGAAGTGCCCTTCAAAGTTCCGTCCATTAACTGAAAACAAGCCAGACTAATCAATTGGGATTTAAGAATCGATATCGTTCGTATAAATGAGAATCGATTAATATCGAGATATCGATATTCTTTACCCAGCCCTAATAAAAGCCTGATGCATCAAATGATACTCAACAACAACAAAAAAATTTGTCTAAAGGTTCAATAAATAGTTCCATTTTGAAAAATTAGATTTTTCTGATTATGATTTAATATGTCAGGCTTCACAGGGTTAATCTCAGTCTGGAAATGAACTAAAAGCACAGTGTATGTTAAATGTGACCCTGGAGCACAAAATCAGTGTTAAGTCGCTGGGGTATATTTGTAGCAATAGCCAACAATACATTGTATGGGTCAAAATTATCCATTTCTCTTTTATGCCAAAAATCATTAGGATATTAAGTAAAGATCATGTTCCATGAAGATATTTTGTAAATTCCTTACCGTAAATATATCAAAACTTAATTTTTGATTTGTAATATGCATTGCTAAGAACTTCATTTGAACAAATTTAAAGATGATTTTCTCAATATTTAGATTTTTTTTTTGCACCCTCAGATTCCAGATTTTCAAATAGTTGTATCTCAGCCAGATATTGTCCTATCCTAACAAGCCATACATCAATGGAAAGCTTATTTATTCAGCTTTCAGATGATGCATAAATCTCAATTTCACAAAATTTACCCTTATGACTGGTTTTGTGGTCCAGGGTCACAAATGAGCTTTGTGGCGTCTTAAGTTTGTGGTTTGTTTGTTGTTGTGTGTTCAGGGTTCCTCTGACGGTGGAGATGTGGCACAGAGAGCCCAGCTCTCCAGATGTTCTGCTGGGTTCTGTCAGCATTCAGCTTTCCCGTCTCCTCGGCTCCGAGAAAACACGCTTCCTCGACCCATCCGGTCATCAGCAATGGAGACAGAGCTGTTCTGAGAGGATCCCCATCATGAAAGCAGACGGGTTCGTGCAGAGTTAGAGATGAAATCTAAGCTAATGCTGCGGTGTAGATGCAAGCGTGAAGAGTGCAGGGCTGCGTTTAGTTGCTGGATGATATTCTGTTCAATCCCAGCAGGACATTGTACCTGCAGCACACAGAACTCAAAACACACAATGCTCAAATGTTTTTTTTTTTAATTATTATTATTGTTATTGAACAGTATATCGTATACAAACAACATGGCAACAATAATATATGTTTGCATTAGAACAGTAGAATCAGGTGCAAAAAGAAAAAATGTTCTTTAACCCCTTAAGTGTCACCCCCTCATTTTTGAACATAGACGTGAAAGTGCACTATCCGAACTTCCAGATTAATGAACACTTTGGAATACAGACCTAAGGTTGGACTCTTTTTATTGCAGAAGTGGAATCATTTCGAAATATGAAGGTATCAAAAAGTTATAGAAGTTTATTGACTGTAAAGAAAATGCACTGTATAATTTTTATTATTATTTTATATAAAATAAATACTTTTCATAAAAAGTTTTACTGTAAAATTGCTATAAAATTAAATCATTATGTCTAAATAAGTTATGTCCCAAATTTGAAGTTGATGTAAAAAAAATTATATTTAAGCGTTATACCACAAACAGCCACCGGGTAACACCCAGAAATTTTTGTTGATTCATTTTTCTTGTCACAAATGTCTGAATTTCTCTGTCAGTGTTACTTCTAACCACCAAATATGGAATCTTAAGACTCAGACCTTTCCAACGATATGTATTTTGTCAAGATTATAAAAAGTTTTGATTGTAAAATACCGTAATACATTTTGTAATACGACTCCTCCCACTAATGGAAGGAGACCGCCAAAAGATTTTAAAGTACCATTTCCATAGTAAGGCAATGTCCGATTTCAAAATGATTTTCACAGGATGAATTTTGAGGTTTTAAGCTTTCAAATGAAAACTAATTTTGGGTGATTACTATAATTTTTGATAGAGTAAAAAGGCAATAAAATATGTAATGGCTGTGGGCCTGCCGGCGACACTTAAGGGGTTAAAGGTATGCTTCACCCGATAAATAAACATTCTGTCCTTTCTTTCTTTTATGGCAACACAAAAGAAAATATTTTGTAGAATGTTGGGAACCAGACAGCATTAAACCCCATTTACTTTCACTGTATGGAAAAAACACTGAGGCAAAAATATCTTCGTTTGTGTTCGTAGAAGAACGTCATACAGGTTTGAACCACACGAGTTGCAGAATGATGGTTTTTAGGTTGAGGATGTTTTTTCTTCTTCTCCTGACCGGTCTGTTTAGATCACATCAAGCACATTTTTTGGATACATGACAACAATTGCAGGGATTAAAGTGTTCCGTCAGTTCATAAAGACAGTCACTTGCTTCATTCCTGAATGAATCAGCTGTTCGAACGAATCAGTTGAATGAATGATTCAGTGATAAAATCAGTGACTTGCCGCCACCTGCTGGCGGATTTAGTTTCTTTTTTTTTTTTCTTTTTTTAATAAGTAGTAGAATAAGACAAATAAGTTACAATATGCAATTAGTATTAATAAATTAATGTATACTACAGAGGTGGCACAGAAGAACACAAAAGTGGCTTGTAGGTAAATTTCCAGATGTTTAATGAGGCTCAGAGGTGGCATGAGTGCAATTAAATTAATGTGGAGATTAATGTTTTAAATATAAAATGTTGAATACAGAAATATTACATGATTTAAATAACTGAAATTATAGGCTAAAAATGAAACTAAATCCGCCAGCAGGTGGCGACAAATTATAGGCTAAAAATGAAACTAAATCCGCCAGCAGGTGGCGGCAAGTCACTGATTTTATCACTGAATCATTCATTCAATTGATTCGTTCGAACGGCTGAATCATTCAGGAATGAACCAAGTGACTGTCTTTATGGACTGATGGAACACTTTAATCCCTGCATTTGGTGTCTGATCTTTTTTTATGTCTCACAATTCTGACCTTTTTTGCAATTCTGGAAAAAAAAATTCATTCATTCAAGATATCATTTTTTTTTTTTTGACAAAAGGTGCAGTTACCTTGTTTTCTGTGCTGGAACAAACAAGATTAACTTTTTTATGCTTTTGTATCCTGTTGCAGAAATGCGCTTCTGTAGGAGTCGGTTTGATGGTTGAACTGAATTGTGTGTCTGTAGGTCTGAGAAGTTGGCTGAACTCTGTTATGTGAGCGTTCTTGAAGATCTGGGGTTTGTGAAAGCTCAAGACGTCCTCGTCTCTGAATCGTCACAGGTGCGGCGGCTCTTTGATTACCGTTCTGTATCTGAATGTGGATGTGGCTTGAACAGCAGCGTCACGGGTGTTGTTTGTTGTTCAGGGGCCGCCGGCAGCTCTGGCTCCTCCCCCTCAGGGCCCCGGGGGGGCGGAGCCTCTCACTCGACCTCGAGAGACCCCGGAGTACAAGGCAGCGCTGGAGCTGGAGATGTGGAAGGAGATGCAGGAGGATCTGTTCGATAATCAGGTGCGGCTCTGCACATCTCAGAGGGAAAACACAATTTCACTGCTGTTTTTAAAATTAATAATAAGAGTTTGAGGTGTTATGAAGAAACTCTAACCTTCACAATGCAAAGCTTCATCCTCGCCTAAAAACAGCATTAGAAAAACAGCTCAAAACGGACAGTGTTGAGCTCATACACTGTCAAAATAATTGCAATTTTAATGGTAAAAGACTGTTAATTGGTTAATTGTAAGCTCCCTTACTGTATACAGTGGAAAACTGTAATAGATCTAAGTAAAATACTGTTTTTTTTATAAAACGGTATTTAAAAAAAAAAACGTTAATTTGACATTGCCAGAATTCCCAGTGCATGTGACACCTCACATTTGATGGTTTTTCATTAAAATAACTGTTTCTTCTTAGTTTTAACAGTTATGTTTTATGTTGTTAAATGAATGTTTATTGCATTATTTTGCTGTCATGTGTATGTTACCATGATGGTGTTTTGTATTTGTGTTTATGACAACGTGTGCACCTTCTGTATATTTTAATATTTACGTGTATGTTATAAAGGTAAAACAGATTTTAGTCATTTGTTATATATTAACATTATTTCAGTTGATGAAATATAAGCAGTGTTGGGGAAAGTTACTTTTAAAAGTAATGCGTTACAATATTGCGTTTCTCCATAAAAAAAGTAACTAATTGTGTTACTTTTTATGGAAAGTAATGCGTTTTGTTACTTTTGCGTTACTTTTTCCTCATCTGGGCTGGGCTTGCTTGTTTGTTTATAATATAAAAAAGTTCTATTTTTGGCAAATGTATAAAATCGCTTTCACACCAAAAGTGAAATGAATGAGCGTCAGGCTGAAGGAAATGTAGATTCACGTCTGTACAGTAGAGTAGATCAAACAATCCCTTTACCTGTGATGTTATTCTGGATTACATGAAGAATAGGACACGAGAGAAGAAAGTTCACAAAAAAAGTAAATACAAATGCAATGTTTATCTAAAGTCAAATGTGACCCTGCAGCACAAAAGCAGTCTTAAGTCGCTGGGGTATATTTGTAGCAATAGCCAACAATACATTGTATGGGTCAAAATTATAGATTTTTCTTTTATGCCAAAAATCATTAGGATATTAAGTAAAGATCATGTTCCATGAAGATATTTAGTCAATTTCCTACCGTAAATATATCAAAACTTAATTTTTGATTAGTAATATGCATTGCTAAGAACTTCATTTGGACAACTTTAAAGATGATTTTCTCAATATTTAGATTTTTTTGCACCCTCAGATTCCAGATTTTCAAATATTGTCCTATCCTAACAAACCATACATCAACGGAAAGATTATTTATTCAGATGATGCATAAATCTCAGTTTAAAAAAATTGACCCTTATGACTGGTTTTGTGCTCCAAAATCAGTGACTTGCCGCCACCTGCTGGCGGATTTAGTTTCTTTTTTTTTTTTCTTTTTTTAATAAGTAGTAGAATAAGACAAATAAGTTACAATATGCAATTAGTATTAATAAATTAATGTATACTACAGAGGTGGCACAGAAGAACACAAAAGTGGCTTGTAGGTACATTTCCAGATGTTTAATGAGGCTCAGAGGTGGCATGAGTGCAATTAAATTCATACATTTATGTGGAGATTAATGTTTTAAATATAAAATGATTTAAATAACTGAAATTATAGGCTAAAAATGAAACTAAATCCGCCAGCAGGTGGCGGCAAGTCACTGATTTTATCACTGAATCATTCATTCAATTGATTCGTTCGAACGGCTGAATCATTCAGGAATGAACCAAGTGACTGTCTTTATGGACTGATGGAACACTTTAATCCCTGCATTTGGTGTCTGATCTTTTTTTATGTCTCACAATTCTGACCTTTTTTGCAATTCTGGAAAAAAAAATTCATTCATTCAAGATATCATTTTTTTTTTTTTGACAAAAGGTGCAGTTACCTTGTTTTCTGTGCTGGAACAAACAAGATTAACTTTTTTATGCTTTTGTATCCTGTTGCAGAAATGCGCTTCTGTAGGAGTCGGTTTGATGGTTGAACTGAATTGTGTGTCTGTAGGTCTGAGAAGTTGGCTGAACTCTGTTATGTGAGCGTTCTTGAAGATCTGGGGTTTGTGAAAGCTCAAGACGTCCTCGTCTCTGAATCGTCACAGGTGCGGCGGCTCTTTGATTACCGTTCTGTATCTGAATGTGGATGTGGCTTGAACAGCAGCGTCACGGGTGTTGTTTGTTGTTCAGGGGCCGCCGGCAGCTCTGGCTCCTCCCCCTCAGGGCCCCGGGGGGGCGGAGCCTCTCACTCGACCTCGAGAGACCCCGGAGTACAAGGCAGCGCTGGAGCTGGAGATGTGGAAGGAGATGCAGGAGGATCTGTTCGATAATCAGGTGCGGCTCTGCACATCTCAGAGGGAAAACACAATTTCACTGCTGTTTTTAAAATTAATAATAAGAGTTTGAGGTGTTATGAAGAAACTCTAACCTTCACAATGCAAAGCTTCATCCTCGCCTAAAAACAGCATTAGAAAAACAGCTCAAAACGGACAGTGTTGAGCTCATACACTGTCAAAATAATTGCAATTTTAATGGTAAAAGACTGTTAATTGGTTAATTGTAAGCTCCCTTACTGTATACAGTGGAAAACTGTAATAGATCTAAGTAAAATACTGTTTTTTTTATAAAACGGTATTTAAAAAAAAAAACGTTAATTTGACATTGCCAGAATTCCCAGTGCATGTGACACCTCACATTTGATGGTTTTTCATTAAAATAACTGTTTCTTCTTAGTTTTAACAGTTATGTTTTATGTTGTTAAATGAATGTTTATTGCATTATTTTGCTGTCATGTGTATGTTACCATGATGGTGTTTTGTATTTGTGTTTATGACAACGTGTGCACCTTCTGTATATTTTAATATTTACGTGTATGTTATAAAGGTAAAACAGATTTTAGTCATTTGTTATATATTAACATTATTTCAGTTGATGAAATATAAGCAGTGTTGGGGAAAGTTACTTTTAAAAGTAATGCGTTACAATATTGCGTTTCTCCATAAAAAAAGTAACTAATTGTGTTACTTTTTATGGAAAGTAATGCGTTTTGTTACTTTTGCGTTACTTTTTCCTCATCTGGGCTGGGCTTGCTTGTTTGTTTATAATATAAAAAAGTTCTATTTTTGGCAAATGTATAAAATCGCTTTCACACCAAAAGTGAAATGAATGAGCGTCAGGCTGAAGGAAATGTAGATTCACGTCTGTACAGTAGAGTAGATCAAACAATCCCTTTACCTGTGATGTTATTCTGGATTACATGAAGAATAGGACACGAGAGAAGAAAGTTCACAAAAAAAGTAAATACAAATGCAATGTTTATCTAAAGTCAAATGTGACCCTGCAGCACAAAAGCAGTCTTAAGTCGCTGGGGTATATTTGTAGCAATAGCCAACAATACATTGTATGGGTCAAAATTATAGATTTTTCTTTTATGCCACAAATCATTAGGATATTAAGTAAAGATCATGTTCCATGAAGATATTTAGTCAATTTCCTACCGTAAATATATCAAAACTTAATTTTTGATTAGTAATATGCATTGCTAAGAACTTCATTTGGACAACTTTAAAGATGATTTTCTCAATATTTAGATTTTTTTGCACCCTCAGATTCCAGATTTTCAAATATTGTCCTATCCTAACAAACCATACATCAACGGAAAGATTATTTATTCAGATGATGCATAAATCTCAGTTTAAAAAAATTGACCCTTATGACTGGTTTTGTGCTCCAGGGTCACATTTTTGCTTATTATTATGGTTGAATTGGATCATTGAAGGTCAGCAGCAAAGACACTGATTAATAAAATGGGATTAAATACATTTGTTTTATTTATCATATTTAATTATTGCGGGTTTGCATCTTATTCTGAGTTTGCATTTCACTGTTTTCATTCATTTTGAGGAACATTGAATCTGTTTCTGTGCAGTGAGATGAGAAATGCATGTTCACATTGAGTCTAGATCTACAGTAAGATCATGTTCACACACAACGCATCTGCACTCACTCAACACGAGGACCGGAGAGCCGTCGTTTAAGTTCTTTCAGAGGTAATGTGTTGTGTTTGTTTTGTCCTCAGCTGAAGCAGAAGGAGTTGAGTCACATGCAGGCGCTTGCGGAGGAGTGGAGGAAGAGAGATCACCAGCGGGAGGCGCTCATCAAGAAGAAGGTCAGACTCATATCAGTCCTTCTTCAGTGGAACACTGTTTGGTTTCAGACAGTAAAGGCAAGGTTGAAAAATTAAAAGGAAATAATACAATAAAACATTAGCATGTAGCCTTCAAACTTATGTAAACATTGCATTTAAAGATCGCATTAGGAGTAAAAAACAAAACAAGTGGTAGGTCTACACTGCAGTAAATGCTTTTCTTTCTTAGGTTTTTTGTCTTGCTTCCAGCCCAGATTTCTGAAAACTCTTAAATCAAGAAGGCTTTTCTAGACAAGTAAAAATTATTGTCTCGTTTTCAGAAAAACGAGACAATAATTTTTACTTGTCTAGAAAAGCCTTCTTGATTTAAGAGTTTTCAGAAATCTGGGCTGGAAGCAAGACAAAAAACCTAAGAAAGAAAAGCATTTACTGCAGTGTAGACCTACCACTTGTTTTGTTTTTTACTCCTAATGCGATCTTTAAATGCAATGTTTACATAAGTTTGAAGGCTACATGCTAATGTTTTATTGTATTATTTCCTTTTAATTGCTTAGAACAAGCAAAATAATCTGCCAAAGGGGTGAGCAAAATAAACCTATTACAAACAGGAAACAATATTATTTTGCTCACCCCTTTGGCAGATTATTTTGCTTGTTCTAAGCTAAAACTCACTTAATTTTGACTCGTTTTTCTGAAAACGAGACAATAATTTTTACTTGTCTAGAAAAGCCTTCTTGATTTAAGAATTTTTTTAAATCTGGGCTGGAAGCAAGACAAAAAACCTAAGTAAGAAAAGCATTTTTTGCAGTGTATATAGGTCACTTGCGCTGCAAGACTTTATCGCTTTGGATAAAACCATCTGCCACATGCATAAATATGAATTTAATATAAAATCACTAGGGCTGTCGCGATTCATCGATTTTATTCGACTATTCGATTTTTTTAAATCCTCGACTTCATTTTGCTAGCGTCGACTAACCGGCAGAATACCGGAAGTGGCGCATTTCACGCACGAGAATCCATAACACACATTATTAGACTGTTTCCCAAGGCTGCATGATATATTAAACCCATTTAAAAATCATAATTAAGCATAATTGTGAATTCACAAACGCTGCGATTTAATTAAATAATTCTATGCGATGCAGTTTTAATACAGTATATGCGCTTTAATTATGTACATGCGTGTAGGTTAAGTACGTGCGTCACACAGCGGCTCGGTTCACAGTAGCTCCGCAGGAACTGTTATCATTTACACGTGTGGAGCGTCTCAAACTCCATCTCTGCATGTTGTTGTGAGTTTGGGTTTATTATAACGTTCATCTGGGAACGCAACGTGCTCCATTTCATCAGATTTGTAAGGTAAATCATTTATAAATCCATGCAAACTCAGGCGAATACATCGCGGTTTCAAAATAAAAGCTCAAACCCTCACTTGTTTACACGTTTTGATGTCCACATATTCTTTTAATTAGTGGCTATAGCATTTCCGTCCTAAAGAAATGGCCAAATATTAAAGGTGAAGTGGACATTTGAATGAAATGGTGCTTGGTCAATATTAAACAAGGATCGCACAGCAATGTGTAAAAACAATCATCAGGCCGCTGGCGCCCTCTGCAGGCCTTTGTTGTAATGCGTAATGTACATTAGCTCTATTGTTTATAATACATTATGTATTTTAACAGTTTTGTTCAATAAAACCATAATATTTCTTGCTTTTGATACTTTATTTGAACTAATTATTATTGCCTCATTGCTATTATATATGTATTTTAAGTCATTTTAAAGGCTATTGTTCACTTACATCTATTTTTCATCTTACATCTATCACAAAAAAATTAATTATAATTATAGGGCATTATGAAATCCGTTTTATTTCCAAATTCAGTTTTAATGGTTAAATTACATTTTATTAATCAAAAAGCCTGTCCAATTAATTGAGTTTTACAGTTTTATCTTTACCAAATTCTGTTTTCCATTATTTTCTGAATTCCATTTTAATGGTTCCATTAAATTGTAAGAATCAAAAGCATCTCCAATTAATTGAATTTATTACAAAAAAAAAATGTAAAAATTTTTTTTTGTTTTTTTTCAGGAATACTGCACATTTACATTTTTCTCCTAAATAAATTCTGGTAAATAACATTTCTGGTAAATACTCCTTTAAAAAGTGTTTTTTGATTATAATTGTATTATTAGTAGACCAGAACACATGGATATGTTGTCATTCTTACACTATAATACTGAACTTTGATTTCAGTGATTTGGACTCTGAGATGGACACTTGCTTCTTTTACTTTTGCTTTAAAAAAAGAATTGTATAGAAATTTGGATTTCATTTGGTTTAATAAAATATAGATTAATAAAATATTCTTAAGTAATTGTAGATTTTTTTGTGTGGGAAATTAATCGATAAATTAGTCGACAGATTAATCGAAATAAAAATAGTCGTTAGTGGCAGCCCTAAAAATCACATAAAGGAGCACACAAGTCATTTGAACCACTGTTTTGATGCTTTAATGGTGTTTTTAAGTGCTTTCTGGAGCTCTGATCAGCATCCGCTGTCATTTATATGTAAAGGAGCAGCATGAACATTCTGCTAAACATCTCATTATATTGTTCTGCTGAAGATATACAGTCATACAGGATTGGAATAACATGACTGTGGCTAAATGATGAGTTTTATATAAATAATTGCCATCACTATTGTTTTTCAGGAAGTGAGGAAAATTATTTTTATATTTAATTATATTAATTTATATATGTATAAATATTAATTGTGTTTATTATATTATAAAAAATATTTATAAAAAAATATTTTAATATTAAAAAAATTTATTATATTATAATTATAATAATTTTTCATGAAATATACATTTTTTGTCATTGTGTTTTCAGGAGATGGAGTATAATCTCCTGGAGGAGCAGCTGCAGAAGACTCTGTCTGAACTGGAGAAGAGAGAGAAAGCTCTGGTTCACGCTGAGATGGAGGTGAGTCTAAATGATCTTCAGAGAGCGTGTCGTGTGATCGTGTGTTTCTGAGGCGTTCGTCTGCCGCTCGTTTAGACGCAGAGGCTGCAGCGAGAGCTCCGCTCCGAGCACGAGTTCAGTATGCGGGAGCTGCAAGACAGCGGCCGGCGTCTGCGCGAGGACTGCGCTCACCAGGTGGAGCTGGAGAGGTCAAAGGTCAGGCAGCTCGAGGATCTACTGGCTCAGCAGCGACAGCAGGTAAACACAGCAAACACCAGCTGTGACCGTGATCTCTGGCCCTTTGAAGGCACGAGCCGGGAGGGGTCACGGGGTCATGAGGTCACCCCCGCTGGTGTCAGTACTCGCTAATCCACCCGTTCTTAAGGGAGGAGTGAAGAGCTTTAGCGGTGATCCAGCGAGCGCTGTTTAATGTCAGTGTTTCTGGTCTTGAACTCTCTGTAGATGCACAATCACACTACAGCAAATGCTTTCAGTCACTAATGCTATCAGTGTTGGAGGTAACGCATTACAAGTAACATGAGTTACGTAATCAGATTACCTTTTTCAAGTAACTAGTAAAGTAACACATTACTTTTTAATTTACAAGAGAATATCTGAGTTACTTTTTCAAATAAGTAATGCAAGTTACCTTTTTTTTAATTCAAGTTTATTGATTGACAACTCTCCCCATGTTGAGAGAAATCAGATGTTACTGTAGTTCTAAAATAAATATGAATATGCATTAATTCATCTCACTCACAAAAAACAAAACAAAACACAGATTCAGTAATCCTCAAAATGAATAAAAATAATGCAACTCAGAATATGACGCAAACCTGCAATAATTAAATGTTAAACACCACAGATATCCTTTATGTATTTAATCCCATTCTATTTGCTTCTGATGATCCAGTTCAACCGTACTAATAAGCAAAAATTACTCTAGACAAACATGTGTGTGTCTTTTTTTATTGCTGAAGTGTGTTGAGATTTCTTCTGAATAATCCTGAAAAAAAGTATCACAGGTTCCAAAAAAATATTAAGCAGCAAAACTGTTTCTAACATTGATAATAAATCAGCATATTAGAATGATTTCTGAAGATCATGTGACACTGAAGACTGGAGTAATGATGCTGAAAATACAGCTGCGCATCACAGAAATACATTACAGTTTAACACATATTCACATAGAAAACAGCTGTTTTAGATTCTAACAATATTTCACAATTTCACAGTTTTTTCTGTATTTCTGATCAAATAAATGCAGCTTTGGTGAGCAGAAGAGACTTCTTTAAAGAGTAATAAAAATCTTACTGATCCCAAACCTTTGAACAGCAGTGTATATATATATATATATATATATATATATATAATAGTGTTATATTAAAAGATAATCGCTGACGTAATGAATCACCAGCTTTCTGAGATCATGTGTCTGTTTCTCATTGTATTTGTCTGCGGCTCGTCTGTGAACTAGAGCGTCTCCTCGTCTTCACACAGCCCACCTACTGAAATACTTCAGTCTTGTTCTTTCCCAGAAAACATCTGGCCTGGCGCAGCGCTAACAAATCAAGCAAAGCAGGTTTCTGACATGTGTAAAGAGAAGAGTCTTCCCTCTCGTGTCAGTAACGTGTAAACATACATTTATCCCGGTTTATCCAGTGCAGAATCCTCCCCCGCCTCTCCTCTTCTTCTTCTTCTTTTCTGGACGCTCTCTCCTCGTTTGCGAACACCAAACATCATGTGCAGGTTTCTCTGGCGTCTGCTTTCTGTCAGAGGGAGAAGCGGCGGATGAAGAGCGCTTGTTTCAGCGGGAGCGGCTTGAGCTGATGGATGTGCTGTTAAACACACACCGGATCTGTGATCCCTCTCAGTGTTCAATCACAGACTCAGCTCTGCAGATTAATAAGAGAGTCATGCTTGAGCAGATTTTACAGGGTTTCCGCGGGGTCTTAAAAAAGTCTTAAATTGTACAAGAAAGTCTTAATTATGATTTCAAGAGGTCTTAAATTTGGGGACGGAAAGACCAGAATTGCGATATGCTGAATGTGACGATTAAACTTCAAAAGGCTATGATTTCATTAAACGGTATCGGTATTTATCGACGGTACAGCTTCTTCGATAACGATATAAAAATGTTCAATATAGCGCACGATATCAGCACGTGCTCTGAGTGACGCAGACCGCACACACAAACACGAACACATGCTGTAATGCCTGCCTGTGATGAGGAGATTGTGAATAAAAAAATTAATATTAGTCGAATTTGAAATAAACATGCATTTGAATGCAAAAATAGTACAATCGAATGTTAGGTGTGCGTCAGTGGCGCGCGAGATGCGGTGATGATGTAAGTGACGTTGTTGCATTTTAATGTTTTGTTAGTCTAGTCCACGAGACGCACAGTTGCTGCGTTATGCATTTTAAAATATTAGAGAAATATAGAAGCTCAATGTGTAGAAGATCTTGATTAGGTTAAAACCGAAACCAAGCCATTCACACAGAACGCATATTCAGCGCATTTTTTAGACTGGACAAGTACGACTGCTGCACTCGCGTCTCACACAAGAGATGTAGCCTTGCAAAGTTAAAACAGTTTAAACTTTTAGAAAAACACGTCGCGAATTTGTGGCGGTTTATTGCTTTTCACTGCGTCTCTTATGTTTTTAAATGCAATCAGAGTGAATGGCGCCCTCCTGTGGCCTCGGGAGACAAGTCAAAAGTTTCCTTAATGGTGTGTTCACACCAGATGCGAATGTAATTATTCGTGCGAGTAGATTACATGCAACGCAAAGACGCTAATAGAGGCAAATTCGCGACGCGAAATGCACGACGCGTTTGCTGCGAACGCACAATATTCGCCTCAATCGCATCTTTAGCGCAAGTTAAAAAATTTCAACTGGAGCGGAAAATTCGCGTGATGCATTCTCGCGCAAGCCAATCAGCGAAGAGCTTCTTGACACGTCCAGGTGAATCAGACAATAGAAGAGAGCATTATTGCAGCCGTCTGTTATTATATAGGTCTGGAGCATAGAAAACAATTAAAATCAGTTGGAGTGGTAGTTGTATTTTATTAGCATGGCTACAGAGATGCTGCTATCAATAATAAAAATAATAGTAATATCAGTGTATATATACAGTAGTAAAATGTAACACACACATTAATACAGGATCCTAACGTTATTCATCCTCCTCTGGATGGTGCTGTGGACCCAGACACGTCGGCGTTTGGCTTTCCATTGTATTTGGGACTTTTTGACAACAAGTACAAAACAGCGATTGTAGTTATCTCCAGCATGGTTGATCGCGCTGTTTTTATTCGCGCGAGTGACACGAAAAACATCCCGCGAGCAATCTAGAGCGAGTGACGCGATGTGCATATTCGCTTCGCGTCTGGTGTGAACACACCATAAGACCTATTTAATCGGCATATAAAACAAAGATATTTGTTTAATTTTTATTGTGTGTTTGACTGTTAAAACAAAAAATATTTGTTGTTTGTCTCAATAAATTGGGTTAATTTAAAAATACAGTGGTTAAATTTAAACTTTGTTTTAAAAACGGTTATAAAAAAAGTCAATAATTATCGATACCGAATGATATGAAACATTATATCGTTGATACATTTTTTAGCTATATCGCCCAGCCTTACACGAGCGCTGCAGGTTCAGAGTCCAGTGCTGCTGCTCTGTGTTCTGCTGTTACCGTGGAAACAGTGATATTTCTACCAAACGCTCCACCTGCTGTCAGAATAAATGAGCATTTTCAATAAAACTGTTGTTTTGTTCAGAGTTCAGACCAATGCGAAAATCGACCCATGTTTTTACCCTGCAAACACGCAGAGCTTTGAATGTGAACTGGTGGATTGATAAAAAGACAATGCATTATAAAAATCTAAACAGAATAGGGGTGTGCGATAATATCGTAATTGTTGTTTTAACGATGTGCGATTTGATATTATCGAGTATATCGCGAAAAGCAAACACAACACCTAAAGAGTGCGCGCATACATTAGATGACGAAGTCTAGCAGGTTAGACAATATATGGGCCGAAAATGTATATATTTATATCATTTCATATAGTTAATATCACACGAAAAGTGCCGTGTTTTTCTCCAAAAGTCAGCGTGATTATAAATGTGATATTGATTTTATACAACAGTTCAATAAACAACAAGTTAATATTAAGAGACTTGCGTTTTAGAGGCCATATTTTCTGTTTTTGCTCTATTTCTCCAATAAAAATAATTCCAAACACAGCCACAGCGCTGTTTAGTGTCTCTGAGCAACATGACGGTGTCTCGTTCCTGAATGAATCAACCAACCGTTTAAATGATTCGGATCAATCACAATGACTCACTTATTAACAGTGACTTGCTGCCACCTGCTGGCGGTTTTAATTTCACATTTAAGGTGCCTTTTCATTTTTTAAATAATTAATTTATTTGTGTTTAAAATATCAAAACATTATTTATGCATTTGTAACTGCAGGTTAAAGTATTCCATGTCCCTCAGAGCTGCATTAAACAGTGTGTAAATCCATCTAAATGCCACTTCAGATGCAGCTTCTGTGTTTCCTCTGCATGGCAAAGATCAGTTTTGTTGATACTGATTTAATTTACTTGGAAACAATCCAAATGCAAGAATTTGACTCAAAAGATGGTGCACACTTTTAGAAAAAATGGCCATAAAACTTGCTGGAAATGATTAATTTCTATCACTGCTGTGATCTTTACAGCACAAGCATCAGAATTTCATAATAGAAATATCCGCATCTGCACCAAATTCATATTTTTGCTCCGTTTGAGTCTCTGAAATACCACTGTATCAGAGCCATAAAAGCTCATTTTTCTGTTTGTCTCTTGTGCCTTCACCACGTTCACTACGTTAGATACAAGAGGCTGAGAACAAATGCAAGCAGCTGGAGAAGGAGTTCGAGCTGTACCGGGATCAGCAGAACGTCCGGCCCGAGGTCCGTCTGCAGTCAGAGATCAACTTGCTGACCCTGGAGAAGGTCAGAGACACTAAATCCTACACAGAGCAGAGGCACATTATGTCCAGTCTGTTTTGAGAATCATCTGTGTTTTTATCATCAAGGTGGAGCTGGAGCGTAAACTGGAGTCTGCAACTAAATCTAAACTGCATTACAAGCAGCAGTGGGGACGAGCCCTGAAGGAGCTAGCCAGGTTTAAGCAGGTAAGACTAACAGGTTAACTATCTAAACACACTGCCAGCGGGTCACATGATGGGGTCACTGGCGTGTGTTTTACCGTGTTTACCGTCACGGCTGTAAATGATACGTTTAATCTCTCAGAGCGGATCAGAATATTTTGTGCACGAGTCAGTCTCATGAAAATGTGTCCCCAAATCTCACCCCAAAAAATATTGTTTGCATAAAGAAAATGAAGCCTGATATACGGATCATTAAGACATGTACTCCCGAGTCTCATGACTATATAATGCGCCTGGATGCTTACTTTGGAATTGGTTTGTAATTCTCATTCACAAATGGTTTTTTTTTTTTTACTGCATTCAAGTTACACTAAAATACATTAAAGTACTTACAAAAAAAAAAACATTATTAAAATATATGAAAAATATATTTATAAAAAAACTATATATATAATTTTATATTTTATGTATTTATAATATGTTTTAAGTATTTTAAAATATACCGTATACAATATTCTTATTTTTAAATATATATCTATTCACAATTGTACTGTTTACTGTGTTCAAGTTACTCTAAAGTACTTAGAATATAAAAAAAAAACATAAATATAGAAAAAATATTATAAAATTATATGATTGTATTTATAAAAAATATTTTTATGAAATTTTGTGTGTATATGTATATATATAATTTTATAATAGTTTATATATTTACTTGAAACATACTGTTTTACGTATTTTAAAATATATTATAAAATTATAAATAAAAAAATTCACAATTGTATGTTTTACTGCATTGAAGTTACTCTAAAGTACTTAAAATATTAAAAAACATAAGTATAGAAAAAATATACAATTATATAATAGTATTTATAAAAAATATTTTTATGACATTTTGTGTGCGTGTGTATATATATATACATGTATATGTATATATATGTAATTTTATAATAGTGTATATATTTACTTGAAACATAATGCTTTACGTATTTAAAAATATATTATAAAATTATAAAAAAAATTATTCACAATTGTACATTTTACTGCATTCAAGTTACTCTAAAGTACTTAAAATATAAAAAACATAAGTATAGAAAAAATATTATACAATTATATAATAGTATTTATAAAAAATAGTTTTGACATTTTGTGTGCGTGTGTGTATATATATAATTTTATAATAGTTTATATATTTACTTGAAACATATAATGTTCTACGTATTTTAAAATATATTATAAAGTTTTTTTTTTTTAAATGATTCACAATAGTACATTTTACTGCATTCAAGTTACTCTAAAGTACTTAAAATATTTAAAAAAACTTAAGTATAGAAAAAATATAAAATTATATAATAGTATTTATAAAAAATATTTTTATGACATTTTGTGTGTGTGTGTATATATATATATATATATATATGTAATTTTATAATAGTTTATATATTTACTTGAAACATACTGCTTTACGTATTTTAAAATATATTATAAAAATATAAAATTATGAAAAAAAAATTCACAATTGTATATTTTACTGTATTCAAGTTACTCTATAATACTTTGAAAAAATATTTTAAAAATCAAACATATATATATATAGTATTTAGAATTTTTGTATGAAATTGTATTATTTTATATATATCAGCAGACACTGTCATGCTGCATTAATACTTTAGTTTCACATGAATGAGGATGAGATTCTCGTGCATCACAGTCATCAGAATGTGCTTCAGTGTCATGAAAGTAATGTAACAATGTAAAACATCTTAATGGCTCTAAAAATAGCCTGGAGTTTGTGTTCTGGATCCAATCAGGCTGCAGTCAGAACCAGCTGAAGACTAATGGAGCAGTTTACTGCGTTACAGCAGACGTGATAGATGTGAGTTCTCATGGAAAGAGCTGTGTGAGTGAGCATCGAGCTGCGCTGAAACATTGGGCCGCTGTCCCCTGAACCCTGAGCAGGACCGACGCAGTATAAACAGAGGCTTATCAGCCTGCTAATAACTGTTACAGACACACAGCAGCTGGAGCGACCCAGACTCGTCTTTCTCCTTTACTTTCAAGTGCCAGAGATATATAAAGAAAACATCTGATGATTTATGGAGCTCCGAGGCCTCCATAACTTAATATGATATTGAGCTATAAATCAGGCTTGTATTATGTTCAACGTTAAACATCTGAATATCAAGTTGGCTTGTTGAAATATCGATGGATGAATTGAAGTGGATCGTTTTTCACTGAAATGATCTCAAAGACTAAAGATACAATGCCGTTCAAAAGTTACAATTTGTAATGTGTTTTAAAGAAGTATCAGGGCTGTATTTATTTGATCAAAAATACAGAAAAAAACTGAAATATTATTAGAATTTAAATTAACTCTTTCTATTTTAATACACTTTAAAATGTAATTTATTGCTGTGATCAAAACTGAATTTTGGTATCGGTCAAAAATAATTTTTATTTAAATGAAACGAATGTACTATATTGTAGTTTGATAATGTTTTAATCTTTTGTATTTTTAGGGGAAAAATAGTTATGATCCATTTATTACCTGTTAATCACTTTTTGAGCATCGCATAGACCTGAAAATGAATAAATCTTAAGGTTGGTCTCTTTTTAAGAAGGCATTTGTCAGATTATCGCTGAAAAAAGTAAAAAAAAAAAAAAAAAATTGAAAAAAAAAATGTTGTAGACGTTTAGGTTTCTTATTAGGAAAAATGCACAAAATATTATTTTAAAATTTTAAATGAAATATATATGTAAAAAGAAAAACGTTTTACTCTAAAACTGCGAGAAAATGAAAGATAAATCTAAATGAGCTGTGTTCCAAATTTGAGGTTGATATCTCAAAAAAATCACTTTTTATTTTATTACATCCTTCGTAGTATTAATTAATTACTAAAGTATTAAATTATTTTTAAAAAAGAGAGAGAAAATCTACTGACCCTAAACTTTTGAACTGTAGTGTATATTGTTAGAGAAGATTTATATTTTGAATAAATGCTGTTCTGTTTAACTTTTTAAACATCAAAGAATCCTGAAAAAAGTATCACAGGTTCAAAAAAAACAAAAAAACATTTGTTTCCAGCAGTGATGATAAATCAGCATATTATTATGATTTCTGAAGATCATGTGACACTGAAGACTGGAGTAATGATGCTGAAAATACAGCTGCGCATCACAGAAATAAATTATATTTTAAAGTATATTAAAATAGAAAACAGCTGTTTTAAATTGTAAAAATATTTCACAATTTTTACAGTATTTTTGATCAAATAAATGCAGCCTTGGTGAGCAGAAGAGAGCATGTGCTGTTCAGCGCAGATTTTCACTAAAGATGTGCTGTGATGGATCTGTCAGCTCTGTTTGGGGTTTCTGGGTAGATTAGCTCAGTGAAGCGGCCCAGGTGTCTGCGAATCTCTCCAGAAAATTGCTCTTGAGCCGCGTCTGGTGTCTGGGTCATTCGCTGGTCATGTATTTAGACAAGCAGTCCTTATTAGAGCTGACGCTCACGCCACACACCTCGACCAGAACTCTGGCAACGTTTAGAGTCCAGCTAACCGCAGATAGTGAAGGAAACTCCTCAAATCCTCAGGATGATTGTGTGTGTTTTCCTTCTGCTAATGTTTGGCCGCAAGTCAAGGCCATGTCTAAGTGTTTGTTTTTCTTGCACTTCTGGTTGCGGTGAAAGTTTTACTGTTGTTATGCTTGAGGGAAACTGCAGATGAAATGAGATTACCACAAACACGTCATCAATTAAATCCCGCTCGTTTGAGTTCTCACAGACGCTCTATACTGATGTGAGCTGCTGGAAAACTCAAGATTTCACCTTTCACATTAAAACCAGCGATCGAGGAGACGTCCTGTAATAATAAGTAGCTGTTGTATGACTTATTGTCTGTGTCTGTGTCTGTGTGTGTGTGTGTGTGTCTGTCTGTGTCTGTGTCTGTGTCTGTGTCTGTGTGTGTGTGTGTGTGTGTGTGTGTGTGTGTGTGTGTGTGTGTGTGTGTGTTCAGCGCGAGCAGGAGAATGCTATGACACGCCTGAAGAAGCAGCAGCAGGAGCTGGAGCACATGAGGTTACGCTACATGGCCGCTGAAGAGAAGGAAGCCGTCAAGAACGAGAAACATGAGCTCCAGGACATCCGAAACGAGCTGAACAGGTAAAAACCACCGCACAGACGCCAGTGTGATCCAGGCTTCTGCTGCTGTGTGAAAATAAAAGTGTTTGCTAAATGAGGGCTGCATGATTATCCAAAAGAAAAACAACATTGCAGTATGGCTTATTCAATCTCAAAGGCTGTGGTTTATTCTCTGCTGTGTGTTTGAGAGTCCAGCGCGGACTTACGCGTTGTTTTACACGTGAGCAGCTCATGATCCAGTGTTTTCAGCAGCGAGCCGAAACTCTGTCTTTTTGAGTTGCTTTAACGCCATCTTCACAAACTATAATGAGAAGCGCTTTAAACCGGCTGTTATCAGCGAAAGTCAAGCTTTAACCTTCTGGCGCTTTTAAAATTTTAGTATTTGATGATGTTTTTTATTTCATCTTGTGTATTTTTAGGGGATTTTATGGTACTAAATTAGATTTTATGATCTATTTATTACCTGTTGCCCACTTTTTGAGCATAGACCTGAAAATGAAATTAAACTGTCACAAATCTAAAGTTTGGTCTCTTTTTAAGAAGCATTTGGAAGATTATTGCTGGAGTGAAAAAAGTTAAAAAGTGAAACAAAAAAAAAAAACAATTATATGGAGTATGTATTTTCCAAAACATGTTTTACTTTAAAACTGCATGAAAATCAAAGCTATAAATCTAAACAGGTTGTGCTCCAAATTTGAGGTTGATATCACAAAAATTTGTCAGATTTGGATTGGTTTCAGGACTGAACTAGATGAGATTCACTTCCAATTAGTTTCCAATGCATCATTTTTGACCATGAATAAGTGTGACTCTTTTTGTCAGGACCTTTTAACCTTTTCAGATCCTGAGAGTGTGAGTGTGAGTGTGAGAGTGTGAGAGTGTGAGAGTGTGAGAGTGAGTGAGTGTGTGAGTGTGTGAGTGTGTGTGAGTGTGTGTTTTGTACCATTCCAGTGAAGATAAAAATTCTAAAAAACCAAAACATAAAATGTTTTGATCAAAAACGAACAAAGAGCAGCAGAGGGTTTAGGGCTCCCTGCAATTTTCCAACAAAATAAAAGCTTGATAGTTCAGTGTTTGAAAATGAATGAAGACAGCCATAATATCAGTAATTATTTGCATTAGTATACTTTACTTAAATGTTGTAATTTATTGTAAATAAAGATAAAAAAAAAATAAAAAGAGAGATGAAATGTATTTTTTTTTAATCCCATGGCAGAAACAAGCTTCCATACAATAGTAATATCAGGGCTTAATGTTCTCCGGCACCGTGCCGGATCTCCGGCGTGTGGCGTTTAGCTGCGGGAAGATAAGATAGTACTTGTTGATATCACGTTCGAGTTCATGAGTTCGCCTACCAATGTATGAGAGCAACACAGCTTTCACTCTCAACCAAAGTAACATTACTAGCCAATCAGGCATTTTTGGTCCTATAAACATGAGACGCGCATTATAATAGTATCCAACTGCAGAGTCGCAGCTGATGAGCACGACACAGAAGATTTCCATCTAGAGCCATATTTATATAGAAAAGCTATTTTCTATATAATTAACGGAGCTTTGTAAACAGCTCAGAGTAATCACGTCATCTCCATAAGAACGATATGATTGGCAGAACAAATTTACCTGTAGTTTTGAAAAGGTCCTGTTCACACATGATCTCTTAACGGTAATTTACCAGTGAAGACTGTATGTGTGAAAGGGCTGAACTCTTCCTCTGCATCTGCGGTGAGTTTGGGTTGCTTAACATTCATCTGCTAAAACTGTGCGTTGTTTCACTTAAGTCATTTATAAACCTATGCCAACACAGAATACATCAACATATTTCTAAATATGCGATTTATTGTAGATC